GCTCTCCTCCAGCTGTCTCTTCCAGCTGTTCTCCTCCAGCTGTTCTCTTTCTGTCCCTCCAGCTGTGTCTTCTTCAGCTGTGTCTCCTCCAGCTGTCTCCTCCAGCTGTTCTCTTCCAGCTGTTCTCCTCCAGCTGTTCTCCTCCAGCTGTTCTCTTTCTGTCCCTCCAGCTGCTCTCTTCCAGCTGCTCTCCTCCAGCTGTGTCTCCTCCAGCTGCTCTCTTCCAGCTGCTCTCCTCCAGCTGTGTCTCCTCCAGCTGTTCTCTTTCTGTCCCTCCAGCTGTTGTATTTGGGATTCGAGCGGGATTCGGCTGAAGCGGCGCTCAGACTGACAGGTGGAGACGTCCAATCAGCGACACAGCTGCTGTTGGACAGCCAGGGCGTCCTCTCCCCGGAGCTGCTGACCCCGCCCTCCACATCCTCCTCCTCCTCCACACCATCCTCAGAGGAGCCCAGCTCCGCCTCCAGCTCCCCAGGTAACAGAACCGCCCTTCGTTCATCCAGCATAAACAAAACAAAGTTACAGAACAGGAAGTGAGCGAGTCTATGTTTGAACGAGGCAGATTTCAGCAGATCTCATCCTTTGTAAGGACCTGAGCTGCCAGATTAGACCTTTCGTCTTCCTCAGTCTCTGTGACTCGTTTTGTCTGACGAGCATGGAAACTTCTACAGACGTCTCTTTGCTTTTCTCTGAAACTGAGAGCTCACAGGGTGAAACTCGTTTAGAGCAGGTTCATCTTCATCTCATCAGTCACTGTGAAAACATGCTAACAGAACCAGCCAATGGGGCTTCAGTAAGGACGGTCATGTGGTTTAGAAACTCCTCATAGTCCAATAGAAAGCCTGAGTGACCCGACGAGCTGAGGAATGTACCTCAGAGGTGTAGTTGTGATTTCACACAGACTGTCAGTCGGAGATTAAATGTTTAAAATAGAATCAATAAAAAACCTTAAAGACAAAAACAGAAAAGAAAAGTCACATGATCTAAAGTCTGCTTGTGTGACCCTCCAGAGGACAGCGAGCTGGTGAGCGAGGTGCTCGAGGACATCGCCCCCCACGAGGAGGACTACCTGGACCTCACGCTGGAGGAGGAGAGCGAGCTCATCTCTGCCATGAAGGCGTACCTGCACCGTGAGCCCGCCCACACCTAGTGACACGCTCAGGCCGGGTCGAGTATTGTCGCTGTGTAGAACAAACACGCGCACACACAGATCGTCCTGCAGTCGGGGAGTTCAGAGCGGCGTGCCAATGTGGAGACAGTGACGATCATCTGTTCAGCAATAATTCAGAGTCCTGCTGCTCAAACCGCACAGGTGTATCAGTTTAATCAGTGACATCATCAATGACATCATTGTTGGTGATGTTGGATCAAAGCAGAGTCTCAGTTTGTGTCTGAGCAGTTTCCTGTTGATTCTTTGGTTGTGATGGAGCCAATAAAGACGACACAAAGTGTTTCTGTCTGTCTGAAAACACAAAAACACAAAAGCAAAAACACCAGGTCAGTGAGAAGAACACTGAAGCTGATTGGTGGTGGAGGAGGTGTAGCATGGGGGTTAGGGTGGTGCATCAACAGACTCAGTCTTCACTCTGAGTCTCACTCTGCACTTCAGGCTCGAACCCTCAGAACCTTCCAGAAGAACTGTGAGACAAAGCTGAGTCTGAGCAGGAAAGGCTGCTACAGTGGTTTACAAAAGTATTCGGCCCCTTGAACTTTCCCACATTTTGTCACATTACAGCCACAAACATGAATCAATGTTATTGGAATTCCACGTGAAAGACCAACACAAAGTGGTGCACACGTGAGAAGTGCAACGAGAATCATACATGATTCCAAACAT